GCCTCATGATCTGGTAATATACAAGCAGGTGACAGGATCTGTAAATTCCGAGTTCTGTTTAGCAGAATGTTAAATAGTCTGACCATGTTTGCTTCAGTGCCGATTTGTCTGTCTTTAACCTGGGAAGAACACATGTATTGTGGTTGGATGTATCCTATCTGACCTTGGTGTCATATTTTTTATGTCAATTAAGGTGTTTAAGATTAAGCATTTCTGATTTTTTTCCTTAAAAAATAAAAACATTGTTCTTTTTATCTCAAATTTTGCAGAATGCAAACTTGACTGACCAAGCAGAAATCTCTGGCTCTGATGGTGATGAATTTAAATATCAAAAGGTGAGAGGAGTGTCATTAAAGTTTGACCTTGGCGTTTTGGGTGGAAATTTCTGAGTGCACTGTTGTGAATGGGAAACGATGTCACCAGTAAATCTGAGACTGTAGTGCATTGATTTCTGGCATTGGCTACCTTTTTTTACCAAAGTATCATTCTCTCAGGAGAAATTACCTAAGGTCATGAATTAATCATGAACCTTTGCTATGTTGCATTTGTGGTAGTACACGATCCATTGTATAAACCTGTCCAGTCTTAGTTATTAAGAAAACAGTATTTTGTGATGTATATAACTGTTCAAAAATTGCAACATTTTTAATCATTAACAGCTTGCCAGTAGATAGTTGTATTTGATTCTTCTAAGCTGTGCTGACACTGATGCATAGATTTGTGTTGGGTCTTGTTTAGGAGCTAAGTCTGCACCTCTTGTACAAATTGTGCAATTTAATTATTTGAAGTTTTGTCTTTTCAAAAATGTTGATCTTTCATGATCGTTTGGTGGAAGTGCCGGTGTTGGACTGGGGTGGACAAAGTCAGAAGTCACATGACACCAGGTTATAGTCCAACAGTTTATTTGAAATCACAAGCTTTTGGAGTGCTGCTTTTAGAGTGGTACTTCATATGACGAAGGAGCAGCGCTCCAAAAGCTTGTGATTTCAAATAATCTGTTGGACTATAGGTGTTGTGTGACTTCTGACTGTGATCATTTGGAACTGAGCTCTGTCTTTACTAAAAACAGCAAAGTGCAACTTTTTGTGCACTTAATAAACTTTATGGCATGTCCTTTTTTCTCTTTCACTCCCAGGATATGGGTATCACTGTCTGGGCCAGTATATATGGGCCGTCCCTAGTTCCACTTGAGGAGGTGGTGATGAGCTGCCTTCTTGAGCTACTGCATTCCATTTTGGTGTAGATGCATACACAATGCTGTTAGGAAGGGAGTTCCAGGATTTTGACCCAGCAGCACTGAAGGAGTGGTGATATATTTCCAAGTCAGGATGGTGAATGGCAATTTGCAGGTGGTGGTATTTCCATCTATCCGCTGCCTTTGTGGAACCCAAACTGAGTGTCAGTGCACATATTAATGCTGAGCATATGCTGCTTGATAGCACTGTTGATGACACCCTCTATTACTTTTAAAAATTAATTTGAAATTAATTTCTTGCAAGGCACTCCAAAGACTTCTGAAAGTAAGGACAGCTACAAAAATACAATTCCTGAAGTGTCTGGCATTTACAGTTCCTGTCAGTGGTAAAAATGATTCCTTGACTAACCACTGGGAATGAAATCAATGCATTAGGTTTCTTTGCCTTTTTAAAATCTATATGACATTATGGATGTACAACTTCATTAAAATTCCTCCACCTGGTTTTAAAAGGAGTCAGTGCTAGGTGATAGTGATCATTGTGTGTGCATCTACACCAAATGGAATGCAGTAGCTCAAGAAGGCAGCTAATCAAGGAGTCCAAGGATTCTTGGTGAATTTCTGCAATGAATGTAGTAGATGGTGCACCCTGTCACTCCTGAGCCTTCAGTGGTTGAGGGATTGAATGTTCACAAGCAATCAAATGGACTGCTTTGTGCTGGATGGTGTCGAGCTTCTTGAGTGTTGGTGGAGTTGCACTCATCCAGGCAGGTATGGAGTGTGAAATCACTCTCTAGACTTGTGCCTTGCAGGTGGTGGACAATCTCTGGGGGGTCAAGATGTGAGTTACTTAGTGCAAGATTCATTGCCTCTGATTTAGCCACAGGATTTATCTGAGTAGTCCTCTTCAATGAAAGTGTCCAAACTGTTGATAGTAAGGGATTCGGTGATGGTGATACCATTGAATATCAAGGGCCAATGGTTAGGTTCTCTCATTGGAGATGGTCATTGCCTGGCACTTGTTCGCTGTAGATGTTACTTGCCAATTCTCCAGGTATTGTTCAGGTCTGGCTACATTTGGGCATACCTCAATATCTGAGGAGTTAAGAATGGTGCTGAACATCCCATATTTGACCTTATGATGAAGGGAAGTCAATGATGAAATGATAAAAATGGATGACATAAGGACAGTACCCTGAGGGACTCCTGCGGTGATGTCCCAGTGCTAAGATGACTGATCTCTAAACAACACAACCATCTTCCACTCTGTTGCATAATGCTAAAAGGTGGAGAGTTTACCCCCCCCAATTCCCACTGATTCCAGTTTTGTTATAGCTCCTTGATACCACACTTGATCAAATCTGGCCTTGATATCAAGGGAGGTCACTTTCACCTCGCTTCTGGAATTCAGCTCTTTTATCTCCTTATTTGGACCAAGCTGTAATGAGTTCAGTAGCTGCGTGGCCCTGGTGTCAAACTGTGTCAATGCACATTACTGCTGAGCATGTGCTATGTGATAGCACTGTTAATGACACCCTCCATCACGTTTCTAATGACTTAGAGTAAATTGGCAAGGCCGTAATCGGCAGGTTAGATTTGTCCTACTTTGTGCCTAGAAGACATATTTCAGCAATTTTCTACATGGTCAGGTAAATACCAGTGTTGTGACTATGCTAGAGCAGCTTGGCTAGGAGCATGGCAAGTTGTGGTGCCAGGATGGTGCCAGGGCTCATAGCCTTTTCAGTTTCCAACCATTTCTTGATATCACTGGAATAAATTGAGTTGGCTAAAGATTGGCATCTGTGATGCTGGACACCTGTCGAGGAGACCGAGTTCATTCATCAAATCAGCACTTCTGGCTGAAGATCGTTGTGAATGTTTCAGCCTTTTCTTTTGCACTGATGTACTGGGCTCCCATATTATTGTGGATGTGTGAGGAGCATTGTAGTTTATATGGACCTTTAACAAGGTCCCATCTAGCAGACTTATCAAGAAGGCAAAGGCACATGGGATGCAGGATAATTTGATAAAGTGAATTCAAACTTGGCTCTGCTGTAGGAGACAGAGTGATGACAGAAGGCTTCTTTAGTATCTGGAAGCCAGTGTCCGGTGGTGTACCACAGGGGTCTGTGCTGGGTCCCCTATTATTTGTCATTTTACATAAATAACATAGATGACTTTGTGGGGAATGAATTCGTAAGTTTGCGGATGACACAAAGATTGGTCAGGTGGTTAACAGTGAGGTTGTGTCTTGGCAATAAGAAGATATAAACAGGATGGTCAAATAGGCAGATAAGTGGCAGATGAAATTCAATCCCGAAAAGTGTGAGGTGATACAATTTGGAAGGATGAATATTTTCTTGCCAAATTGGATGAATGGCATGACATTAGGAAGTTCTGTGGAGCAAAGGAACCTTGGAATGTTGTCCATTGATCTGTGATAGTGGAAGGGCATTTTAGGATGGTGAAAAAGGCGTATGGGACACTTGCCTTTATCAATTAAGGAATAGATTACAAAAGCAGGGAAATCATGATGGAATTGCATAGAAAGTTGGTGAGACCACAGCTAGAGTACTGTGTGCAGTTCTGATTGCCACATTACAGAAAGGATATGATTGCACTGAAGGGGGGCAGAGGAGATTCACCAGGATGCTGCCTGGGATGGAAAATTTAAATTTTGAGGAAAGGTTGGATCGGTTTGGGTTGTTTTCATTGGAGCAGAAAATGCTAAGGGGCAATTTGATTGAAGTGTGCAAGATTATGAGGAGCATCGGCAGAGTGGATAAGGGACCAGCTGCCCCCCCCCTTAGTTGAAGGGTTAGTCACAAGGGTTCAAGGTGAGGGTTATGAGGTTTGTGTAGTGATGTGAGGATAAACCTTTCTACCCAAAGGGTGATAGCCTGGAATGTGCTGCCTGGGAGGGTGGTAGAGGTGAATTGCCTCTCATCCTTTTAAGAAGTACCTAAATGAGCATTTGATGCATCATAACATTCAATGCTATGAGTCAAGTGCTGGTAAATAGGATTTGGTAGATGGTCAGATATTTCTCATGTGTCAGTGCTCACCAGATGGAACCGAAGAACCTTTTCTGCACTGTGTGATTCTATGATCCTCCTCATCCAGTGAGTTGTTTTGATGTGGCAGAACTGCAGAGCTTCAGTCTGATCCATTGGTTGTGGAATTGCTTAGCTCCGTCTATCACTTGCTATTTATACTCTTTGGCACATGTGAATAATCTGTGTTGCAGTTTTACCAGGTTAACACCTCATTTTTATGTATGCCTAGTGCTGCTACTGGCATAATTTTCTGCATTTTTCATTGGACTTCATGTAGTTTTTGTTGATTTAAACTGCTTGAATCACTTCCAGTTCAGTTCAAATTAAAATTTCCAAAGCAAGATGAAAGCTTCTGGTATTTCCGTAGATACTCTAAGGTTTCATGCTTATTGTGAAAATTGAGTGTCATAAAGGGTGTCACAAATACATGATGACAATAGCCTATCACAAGAATCATTGGCAGGATTAAATTTCTAACTTTGAATCATGAATGGAAAAAATTCCACATCCTTATGGAAGTTGATCAGTTGGAGTGTTGAAATGTTCAGTTAGCTTTGATACATTGGTTTTATTAAGTTGCCTTAAATTCTGTTCCCTGCTACTGACTGCAATGGTCCCACTGGCTAGTGTCTGCCAGTTTGCAATTTTGGTGCTCTATATGATCTCTTCACTCCATCTCTACTAACTTCCTATTCCCATCCACAATATTGTTTGCCGCTGCTGAAACTTTCGTCAATATTTTTGCTTTTGTTCCCTCCATTTCTGGCTATTGCAATGCTGTCCTGGCCACCAGCTGGTGAGCCTCTTGTTTTCCCTCTTTATAAATACAGTCTTCAAACTCTGCTGCCCATATTCCATTCTTACTAAGGTCCATTCACCTGTCACTCTTGGCGACTTATCAGACTTCAATTTTAGGATTACAGTGTAACCAAGGATATCACTCCAGGCTGATGCGGTAAAAAATAGAAGATCAATTTTAACTTTAATTGATGAAGGGGAAGAGGAGGAGCAAGGTAGTGAAATTATTAATTTCAGAGGAGGCAATGATCTAGTGGGATTATCGTTGGACTGTTGATCCAGAGACCCAGATAATGTTCTGGGGACCTGGAATCGAATTCTGCCACGGCAGACGGTGGAATTAAGAATCTGATGATGACCATGAGACCATTGTCGATTGTCAGAAAACCTCATCTGCTTCGCTAATGTCCTTTTAAGGAAGGAAACTGCCATCCTTACCTGTTCTGTCCTACATGTGACTTCAGACCCACAGCAATGTGGTTGACTCTTAACTGCCCTCTGGGAAATAAATACCGCCTATCCAGTGATGCCATCATCCCGTGAATGAATTTTAAAAAATTAAATGTATCTGATTTCTAGTACTTATGCACTTAGTGATTTTGGAGATTTTAAACGGATTGGAAGATGATTTTTAACACTTGATAAATATGAAAGCAAAAACTTAAATTAATTTGTAGCTGTGGAGAGCTGTGCAAAACCCATAAGTCATAATTATAATATTGCCTTTGGCTTGCAAAATTTGTTCTGTTTTTCCTGTTATAAACCCAAGAACTATTATCTTCTAAAAGATGAACAATTGGTTTCCGGGGTACAAATATATGCTGTACTATTTGTTTCTCTGGAATTTGTGGTTCATTTATATTGCAAATGCCTCTTGAGTAGTACTGCCATATTTACTCAGATATTTAATGCTGTTAAAAATTGATCATTTATATAGTGCAGATTGACCAGCAGCTAATAGTCTGAGGTCCTATATAGCTGCAGTTACTTATTGATGCGTAGTACATTAGGCTGCTATACCTGCACCAGATGCTGGGAAAAGCTCTTTCAGGTTGGTTCCCACCTGAGGTGTCCCTGTTTTGGTAGTTCACTGTGGAAATTACAACCAATCTTTAGAGCTAATTCTGTCATCATGTTCATGTAGACTTGCTGTCGGTTATTCTCTAAATTGTAAATGCTCATCACAGTGTTAGTTAGATTAGACACAAAAGTTTAATCTTTTGAGTGGGGGCCAAGTTGAATTTGTTAAAGATGTGTCTCTCCCTTATTCTTTCTTTTCTTCAACATATAATTGTTGTGAGGTACAGTCGGTTCTGCGATAATGCGATAGTTGTATTCCAGTGCAACATCGTGTTATAGAAAACCGTGCTGTGGAAATAACAGGGTCTATGGGAAAAGCAGGATCAGGGGCAGACCACGCAAAAAAAGTCACTCAAAAGCCTAACATAAAGGCTAGCACAATTTGAATAAATAAATTTAACATGTTACCTTGAAAAAAATGTCAGGATGACTTGATGAGGGAGGAGGTTGTACTGCTTTTCTGACAAAAAGCACTTCATGACAAAGCCTGTGAAATAATCACGTGATGCCGGCTCGGAGATTCCTTTGGCCCTAACGTTGTACGTATTCACGACAAAGCTCGTGAAATGATCATGTGATGTTAACACGTACTCTTCCGCACACTGTTGGTATCGCGTTATAGCCGACAGAAGTTTGCATTTTAGAAATAGCGTTCCCCATTCATGAATCGAGTTACAGCCCATTTATGTTGATGGAACACGCATTATAGCAGAACTGAATGTATTCTAAACTGGCATTTTTATAGATGGGGCACTCCTAACCAAACATCCAGTGTTGTCAGTGCGTGCATTTTGAAGGCAGTGTCATACCATAGTCTTGCCCAATAGAATAACTATATGTGGTTAAAATGAGCAACAGACACCATCATTGGCCATGAAATCTCTGTACTTGTATTCACAAGGCATATGCATCAATGAGTAATTTAATTTTTGTGCATTTGCCAATAAAAGTAATAAGGTGAAAATCAAGTGAGCAAGTGTTTTCTTTGAGTGCTTGACTTCTAAATGATAGCTGTTTAACATGAAGTACGTGTTCTTTATCAGTGTATTCAAGGTGTATCTTGTGAAAACATTGTTCCTGTAGCTACATAAGCAACTAGTTAGCGGTTTCCATTGGCCAACATTGCCATAGAAGGCACTGAGTCGTTGTGTCAAGCACCCTCTTTAATATCAGCTTCTTATGAACAAAATGCTGCTGTGACATTGTTACATCACATCATGGTCGACTTGAAGATGTTTTAATTAAGCCTACAATGATAACAGTTTGAGAAGAAAGTCAAAGTAAAATAACATTTACCAGGACTGTGGCTTGATTTGTATCTGAAACCAATTTCTGCCTTGCGAAATTAGCAAAAAAATACATTCCTGCATTGACTCCCATGCTCCCAATGTTGTGCTCAGTTCTACCTACTGTTGATCCAAAGCTGAGGTACAATCTTATCAACGTCAAACATTTAGTTAATAATTTTTTTTGTCAAATCAAATGCCAACTGGAAAAATTGACTAAAACTGAGCAAAAAAATTTTTATTTAGCAATGCTTTGTTCTAATTTATACACTTTTTGGGTATGAAAAGTAATGATGAAACTGATTAAAGTGAGTGTTTGTTTGTTTTTCTTAGGGGTCCAGTCGTGCACAGACCCTGGCAAAGATAAAGTCAAAATCGTACAATTCCACAGTGAAGGTTTGTATGTCAAATATACATTTTTCTTAAAATTAGTAGGCATCCCTTATTCCTCATGATTGATAAGGAATGATTGCAAAAACTAATGTTTTACGTCACTGTATGGAGAACTAATGGTATAATTGTGTTGTGAATTTTCTTATTTTATGTCCATTTAAAATCAGAAATGGTGATGTTTGCTGATGACTACACAATGCTCAGCCCATGTGCAAAGATCTGGATAATTAGCTTTCCTGATTATTTGCTGTACCTGCATACCTTTCTGTGATTCGTGTACCAGGTCACTTCGATTACTCAATCTTGGAGTTCTGTAATGTCTCACCATTTTAGACAATATGCTTTTTTTTTATTCTTTCTGACAAAATAGACAATTTCACACTTTTTCAAATTATACTCACTTTGCAAGATCTTTGCCCACTCAATTAGCCTATCTATCCCTTTGTAGGCTCCTTATATCCTCTTCATAACTCACTTCCCCACCTATCTTTGTGTATTTGGTGAATTTAGCTACCATCTCTTCAGTCCCTTCATTCAAATTGTTTATGTAAAGTGTAAAGAGTTAGGCCCGAGGACTGACCCCTGGGGCATGCCACTCCTGAGATCCTGCCAGCCTAAGAGAGATGCACTTATTCCTACTCTCTGCTTCCTGCTAACTCCTACACCATGAGCATTTATTTTCCATAATACTCTTTGTAGCATCTTACAGGTTCCTGTGGAGCCAGGAGTTGCAGGAGTGCTTTCCCAAACTAGAGACACCTGCTGCAATATTGCAGCTTAAATACAACCATGTTTAGTCCATGAAGTGCAAACTTCTAAGACAGTGTTGGCTCTTGACCTTTCTTAATATTGATTTTATTTATTTATTTATTTATTTATTAGTGTATCTTGTTACAAAATGCAGTGAAAAGTGTTTAATAGTGTTGCCACTCTGCAACGCGATCTTAAAATGCAGAAAAGTAAACCAAAACATCGAATATAAAGGCAGATAAATGAAAAATGTAAAGAAAGTGTCCAACTTTAGAGTCCTTGCTAAGTGCTGCATCGTGGGCCTTGTGGCCAGGTATGAGTCCCCTCTGCTATACCGCCGCTGGAATGAAAGCCGCCACTCTTAGGCACCATCTCACCTCCACCGACACTTTCACCACTGAGTCCTCACTGAACCTTTCCAATGCAGACGCCACCGATGCTGCCAGGTACCACACTGGCCTAAACTCGACTCCACTACCATGAATCTGCTTTGGGCCCAAACTCACCGCCACCTCCATGAATCTGCATTGGAAGCTGACACCATCAGGAGTCCTAGATAATCATAGACTCATTCGGCACAGAAGCAGACCCATCAGTCCAACCAGTCCATGCCAAACGTAATCCCAAACTAAACTAGACCCACCTGCCTGCTCCTGGCCCATATTGCTCCAAACCTTTCCTACTCATGTATCTATCCAAATGCCTTTTAAACATTGTAATTGTACCCACATCCACCACTTCATCAGGAAGTTCATTCCACATGCAAACCACCCTCTCTGTAAGAAATTTGCCTGTTATGTCTTTTTTAAATCTCTCTCTCCTCTCTCCTTAAAAATGTACCCCCTAGTCTTGAAATTCCCCATTTTAGGGAAAAGACAACTACAGGTATTTCTCCTATAACGTGATAGTTGTATTCCTGTGTGACCTTGCACTATAGAAAATTGCGTTATAGGGAAATCACTATACTTGTACAGCAGAAAGTTTGCATTATCCAAACAGTGTCCACTATTCATCCATCGCATTACAGGCAATTCGCGTCAACGAAACACCCATTATAGCAGAAATATCTATGCCATCAACCATATCTATACCCCTCGTTATTTTATAAACTTCTATCAGGTCACTTCTCAACCTCCTATGCTCCAGTGAAAAAAGTCCCAGCCAATCCAGCTTTTCCTTACAACTCAAACCTTCCATACCCAGCAACATCCTGGTAAATCTCTTCTGAACCCTCTCCAGCTTGATAATATCCTTCCTACAACTGCGTGACCAGAACTGGACACAGTATTCCAGAAGAGGCCTCACCAATGTCCTGCACAACCTCAACATAATGTCCCAACTCCTATACTCAAAGGACTGAGCAATGAAAGCAAGCTTGCCAAATGCCTTTTTACCAATCCTGTCTGTCTGTGATGAAAACTTTAAAGAATTATGTACCTGCACCCCCAGGTCTCTCTGTTGTACAGCACTACCCAAGGCCCTACCATTGATTGTATCAGTCCCACCCTTGTTTGTTGTACCAAAATGCAATGCCTCGCATTTATTCAGATTGAACTCTATCTGCAATTTTTCAGCCAATTGACCCATTTGATCAAGATCCCTTTAATCTTAATCTTAATCTTACAAAACCTTTTTCACTGACTACAATGCCATCTGTTTTGGTGTCACCACAAACTTACTAACCGTGCCTTCTATATCCTGAAACTTGCCTCCACTGCCACGAGTCCACACTGCTGGACCTATTCAAGTGCACGCTGGGGACAGAGCGGACGAGCCCTGGTCTCAGAAGCCCTGCTCCACCACCATCTTATCAGAAGTTCTTGACCTCTGTCTCAATCTTCACCTCTATCAATGTATTCTTTTTTTATTGTAGGATTGGTTCAACAAGCCCATTGACTGGCCTGGGGTAAATCACTTCCAAGATTTCTATTCTTCATGTTTATGCATACTAAGAGTCAAAGAGTCATAGAACTGTACCGCATGGAAACAAACCCTTCGGTCCAATTTGTCCATGCCAACCAGATATCCTAAATTAGTCTAGTTCAATTTGCCAGTATTTGGCCCATTTCCTCTAAACCCTTCCTATTCATTTACCCATCCAGCTGCCTTTTAAATGTTGTAATTGTATCAGCCTCCTCCACTTCCTCTAGCAGCTCATTCCATTCACACACCACCCTTTGCATGGGAAAATGTAGGCCCTTAGTTTCGTTTTTAAATCTCTCCCCTCTAACCTATGCCCTCTAGTTTTGAACTCTGCTACCCTGGGGAAAAAACCTTGACTATTCCCCCTATCTATGTCCCTCATGATTTTATAAACTTCTATAAGAGCACCCCTCAGCCTCCGAAGCTCCAGGGAAAATAGCCCCAGTCAATTCAGTCTCTCCCTATAACCCAAACTCTCCAACCCTTGCAACATCCTTGTAAATCTTTTCTGAACCCTGTCAAGTTTCACAACATCTTTCCTATAGCAGGGAGACCAGAATTGAACACCGGATTCCAAAAGTTTGCTCAGGATATAATTTCTTGGCACATATCCTTTTGCATTGTCGTGAATGTAAAACAGTGGGAGAATTTTGTAGGTTTCTTTTCTGTCAGAAACCAATCAGGTCTATGGCTAAAATCCACTATGGATGACATTAACAAGGGCAGCATGGACTTATGTCTCTTGATTAGAGGCCAGTAGCACTTGCTGTCCCATTAGTTGGCAGTGGAGGATCCTGGGATGCAAGTTTGGGTGAAGGCCCCAATAATCCAAGGATTCAGTAAGGATTCAGGAATATTAGGTGAGATATGGAGCATTCCCATAATCAAAGGCTACCAAAGATAGGACCCTCTTCCATTCCTGATTTTTTAAAAAAAGCTTTTACTTTTACAAATGGACTATGCACTCCAGCTTTCCTGTCTATTCCATCTCAATTATGGTATGGGCAGCAAAATATTTGGGTCAGTTGAGCTTTTATGATCTCAGTTGATTACTTATTGAAACATGCCGGGCTGTTGCCAATTTTTAGTACCAGCAAAGCCCTTCTCACTGACCCGGGTTTCCTCATATTAGAAGGTAGTGGGCTAGTCACCGGCTGTATTTATGCCTTTTGTCACCTGCCAAAAATATGCCTGAAAGGGTCATGTAAAATTCAGCCCAATGATTTGATGTTGAATTATTTATTAAATGTAACAGTCATTAATTTTTGTTCAAAAAACTGTTGTTTCACATGAAGGCATCTAGATCAAGAAGGCATCGACAAATAAAAGTGGATTCTTCAGAATCTGGGTCTGACTGGGCACAAGTGAAGAATTCCTCAAGAAATAGGAACTCCTCAGTGAAAAAGCACGGCAGAGATAAAGGTAATTTTTGAAGTTTGTGTTAAGAAAATAGATTCTTCTCAAGACTATAGCTGTCTTCATTGTTCCTCTGGGTTTCAGCAGGTGTTTTTGTTAGATCAACCCTTGGGAAACCTTCCTTTGTTATACTTTTAGAAAAAGATGAATATTTGCTTTAATGAAACTAGAGTCTTATCATAGAATCGTAGAATCCCTTGTATGTAAGCAGGCCATTAGGCCTATGGACTCCGCACCAACTTTCCGAAGAGCATCTCATCCAAACTCAGCCCCCCACCCTATCCCCATAACCCTACGTTTCCTGTGGCTAACCCTGAAATGTAAGCATCCATTTGCAGGTCATATGAATGTAACTTTGACTACCATTAGAAAGTTACAGAGGCGACATGTTAGAATTTGGAATGATAGGTCATTGGCCTGAAATATTAACTGTTTTGTGCTTCACAGATACTTCCTGACCACTTGAATATTTTCATTATTTTTTGTTTTCACTTCTGAAAATTACTACTTAACATTAGGAACTGATGCAATGCCTGCACAAAAAAAAATGCCGTTATAAGTATAATAATTACTTGAAAGCAAAACAAATAAATACTGTTTGCAGCAGGACTGCTTATTGATTATATACCCTAAAGGGTTACATAATAAACTTAATCATTTTCACATTTTAATTTTTAATAATTCAGTGGGGCATCAAATCATTTGCTTATTATTCAAAATTATTCAGAAAATCACAACTCAAAGAATGGCAATGCTGATGGAGGGCTCAACAATTTAAAGCTCAGCACTGATCACTGCTGTAAAATTGTGACCTGCCCAGTAAACATTATTTTTAGACTTTGCTACAGGTAGTGATGACTAAGCCTTCCAAATTCTGGAATTGATTGGAATAACCTAACAAACTAGTGCCGCAAGAAGGCAGTGTGGTTCTGGCAAGCTTAGCATTAGTGTTGCATTGATTTTAGTTGGCTAAACTCCAGCTGCAGCCACTGTGTGTCTTCCAAGCTTTGTTTAATACTGACCCCTATAGGTTCTCTGGGATTGATACAACAAATGACCCAGTTATACAATAGCCCACACTTTATTGAGCTACTGGAAGTGACTTTGTGTGGTTTCTCAGTAGTTCCACATATTGGAACTACTAACAAATAAAAATCCCATGAGATAGTATTCTGAGACTGAGAAATAAGTATTCTTATGGCATTGTTAACAAGCTGTTCAGATAAGGTCAAAGCAGATGAGGAAAGGCACAGACCATGTTCATTTTCCAGGTTTTGCCAGTTAACTGGGTCTTGAAAGAGCTCAAATGCCTCATACAAAATCATAGTCAGCCTTTATACAAAGAAGTTATTTCTAAATCCTGATTCATCAGCTTAAAAAAGACCAAAGAGAAGTCACATTGAGGAAGTTATTTGTTTGCACTATTTCTTGCTTGACTGGATTCGGTAATGCCCAAACTGCAGAGGTCACACTTCTTCTGCTCATGTACAGTTGCAGCATCTGTGTTAATACATACTTTAACATGCCACATCTAATACACCATACTCTTTTTCTCTATTTCCATTACAGTGACCATGTTTAATCAGCAAATACAGTTGTCAAATAATGTTTAGAACCTCAGTGTATACAGGCTGAAAAGTTGAAACTTAGATTCTGGTTTGTGGAATCTGGTCTGGGAGTTTGTGATGGGGAAATCGCCCATCCACATCCACCCAAACAACCCAGAGTCTGTTACTGGTCACACAGACTGAAGGAAGGAAGGCTGCCCCGACCCTGTCCCTGATCGTGCGTAACCTCCCTCACTCCATGTTCCCAGTCTTCAGGGTCCAGTTTCAGCTGCAGCCTCCCACTCCCAGTGGTGCTGGGAACCCACAACTAGCAGGATATAGGCTCAGTAGCAGGAGAACCTTGACAATATCATGTCCCTAAACAAAGGGAGAAAGTACATTGAAGGATGCAGTGTGGGGCAAGTATGCAGGTGGATGTTTGACTTTAAATCAGTAACAGGTAATGTTTTGTTGCTTATGGTACCATGGGCTTGTCTGCACTAGTTAATATGCTGAACAAAATGCAAGAAATGCTCAGCAGGTCTGGCAGCATTTGTAAAGAGTGAAGAAAAAATTAACATTTTTGGGTCGAGAACCATGGTTTCTTGTTTTCCACTCATTTGCTGTCACCTCTTCCCTATTGTCCTCTCCTCCCACAATCACAACAGTGACCCCTTGTTCACACCATGCACTCACCAGCCTGCACATATATGGCATCGTCCTCTGACGTTCCTGCTACTATCAGTGTGATGCCACACCAACATACCTTGCCTTCCGTCTTTCAGCATTCCAGACAGCTGTTGATTTGATCAATAATAAGCATTTTTTGTTGAGGCAACGTTGTTGGCAGTGATTCCATTGTTCCTTTTTCCATTTCCTCTGGACCCATTTTTTGTTTCCTTACATGGCACGTTATAATCTCATCCTGCCTTGCGACCATCATCCCCTTTTAATTTGTCCTTTTGACCCTATAACTGGTCTTCCCTTCTTTTATTCTTTCCTGCCCTTCATAATTCTCAACAAACTTGATCGCTCGTCTCTTTCCATACCCAAACAAATATTTGGCCACTTATTAAAAGCTATTATGAATTCTGCTGCCACCAGTTTCTGATTGGGTATTTTGTGTCCTAACAATAAACCCTCTGTTACTCCTGTTCACTACAAGAACAAAGGAAAGGGGTTCTAAATTTATAGAATGATAATATTTTCCGTACGGTTAGGAATACATCCAGATGTGACAGTCTACGTAGACTCTTTGATTTAATGCAACATTTTGGTATTCGTTTATGCACACGAGGGTTTTTATTATTCGTCTTCACTTCATGCAGTAGAATCACATTTTTAACTAAGTTACGTAGTGCCATAGTGATTGAAGATTCTGTTAAAGTGAGTCTGTCATCTGGCAAAATGCTGCTGAGGAAAATTGAGTGGTTACCTTGGAAACGAAGAGCAACAAGCTCAGTATGCCAGTGAAAAGATCAGGCCCTCATCAAGATGTAGAATGTTATTTGGATGGGAAAGAATGAGAGCAAGTATCTGTTTTGTATCATTGTTGTGGATTTGCCATTCCTTACTGTTTCAATTTTTCTTCCCCAGTCTCACCAAAGAAAGAATTAGTTTTTAGGCTATGAAGCAACTAATTGCCTCTTGTTCAACACCGGTGCATCCTGGATCTGTGTGAAACATTTCGTGGCTTTGTATAGCCATTATGTAGTGGTACACCAAGCATAAGAGTTGAATAAAATATCTGTTACTGTATTTAGTGTGTGGACTATATCATGAATAATTTCATGATCTTCTGACCTCAAAGTGATTGAATAAACATCCAATCTGATTATGGCTTAAAATATCAACCATGCTGTTATTTTATTGCAAGGAATAGCAAGGAGTAAATGAAACAATGCAGTAGTTGCAGAATGCATTTAAAAGAAAATACTTTATTTTTAAAGAATGATTTTGTATTTATCTAGCACCATTCACTTCATCAGATGCCCAAAGAGCTTTGCAGCCAGTTAACTTTTTCTTAAGTCCAGCTATTGTTGTAATGTTGGCAAATGTGGCAACCAGTCTGCACAGTGGGATTTGAGAAACAGCAGTGAAGTCATGACTGGATCAACCTTTTTTTCCATGAGTTAATTAAGGAACAAGTGTTAGCCAGGACACTGTTTTTCTCCAAATAATGTGATGGAAATGTTTTTACATCTTCCTGAGAGGCAGACAGGGCCTCAAATTAGAAACAGAAATTAGGAGCAATAGTAGGCCATTCAGTCCTTTTAAACCTGCTCTGCCACTCTATGATCATTCAACTCAGTATCCTTTTCCCGCTTTCACCCCATACCCTTTGATCCCTTTAGCCTTAAGAGCTATATCTGTATCCTGGAAAACATTCATTAGAACATTAAAAAGAACAGTACAGCACGAGTGTGTGTTTTTAAAAAGAAATTGTCTTGCACATCTCATTTAATACCCCACTCCTCCCCACCCCTTAAACGTATGCCCCCTAGAATTTGAATTTTGGACCCTGGGATAAAGACTCCGACTATCTACCCTATCCATGCATAGAGTCACAGAATCATACCGCAGAGAAACAGACTCTTCAGTCCAATTCGTCCACGTTAACCAAGTTTCCCAAGGGTAATACCCGAAATGGTGACTGCTCCTTTTCTCCAGATGTTGCCTGGCCTGCTGTGTTCTTCCAGCCTCCTGTTTGTTCCAGCATCTACAATTTTTTGTTTTGGTCTCTAACCAAGGAGAGAGCAAAAGACTGATGTTTACTGTTGGTAACTGGCCTGGAAAGATAAAGCACAGTAATTACTGCTCTAAGAACACTGTAGACAAACTGGCAATAAGATGCTGTTGTGCTTACAGTCTGATAGCTGGTTTGATGTTGAATCAGTCAATCGAAGAAGGTCCCAAACTAGCCACCCAGTCGCAAAGAATGGTTTCTCTTTTTTTAACAAAGGAGGAGCTGATTTTGACTGGGATTTCGGGCAGGAGGAAATGTTGCTTTGGTAGCTGTCAAATTGGGGTTTTGCTTTTGACTTGTCTCTAGCTATTCTGCAGTTACTGATGCATCAAAAGTCCTGAGAAAAAAATCACGGCCTATAAGAAGTAAGGAAGAGTCTGCAAGATCTGTGGAAGCTGTTAGTGTTGATCTCTGGAATTCCAGCACAAAGCAGTTCTTGTAATACAACAAATCGGATTTCTGAAGGCCTGATATTGTTGAAATGGTTAATAAACTGGCAACTTACACTTTTATTTAAAAAGAAGTTATCCCTTGTCTCTGTCTGACTGTCCATGTTTAAGTGGGAGTTTGTGATCAAAGAAGGTTAGGCTTGGATTGTACATATTAATTAGATTGCTTTGTTCTTTATCTGTGTTCTGCTAAAGTTGCATTCTTAACAGATCTTGGACATCAAGTTTATAATTATTTGTAAAGTCTGTTTAGGAATGATTGAGCAATTTTGAGGGTCGTTGAATGTTTTAATTCCATAGTGTTACAAATCCAGTTTTATGAAGGCTGGTTTGGTTTGCCTTCTAGTGACACTGGACCTTGTGTACACCAGAATTTTTTTGGGACACTATTTGTGTCTTTCTTTATGAAAATAGTATCAGAATATGTATTTAATTGGTCTACCATCTCTTTGCCCCCCATATAACTTCCCCTGATTATAAAAGACATATTTTTCTGAATTAATCTTTTTCTCTTCAAATATCTGGAGCTTTTATATACAGTTTGTATGTTCCCCACAAACTTACTCTCTTACTGTATTCCCCCTCTTAGTCAATCCTTTTGTTCATTTATGTATCATCTGATGGATGGTACCTCTGACAGTGCAGTTCTCCCTCAGTTATGCACTGCGATGTTAACATGGACTAAGCGCTCGTAAATCTTTCTCTAGCAAAGCTAATGCTTGGTTACATCTTGCATTAAATAATCAAGTTAGGCCACAGATCAACCATGATCTCATTGAACAGATTACAGGGACTGAATGGCCTACTCCAGTTCCTGTGTTCCTATAACTTCTGTTATGTGGAGTGGAAGTATTAAGGTTTTTTCCTATTCATTTCGTGGGATGTGGGCGTTGCTGGCTGGCCAGCATTTCTTGCCCATCCCTAGTTGCCCTTGAGAAGGCAGTGGTGAGCTGCCGCCTTGAACTGCTGCATTCCTCCCGCTGTGGGTTGACCCACAATGCTATTAGGGAAGGTGTTAAATTGCTTAATAAGTAGAGGGTTTGCAGATCACAGACCTGAAACATTAATTGTCTTTCTGTCCACAGATGTAGCCTAATCTGCTTCACATTTCCATTTCTTCTATTTAATTACTTTTTATTTAGGTGCAACCAGTAATTAAGAAAGCAAGTGAAATATTGTCCTTCATTGATAGAGGGATAGAGTTTAAAAATAGATATTTATGCTGCAGCTGTATGGGGTGCTGGTTAGGCCACACCTGGAGTACTGCATGCAGTTTTGGTCTCCTTGCTTGAGAAAGGATATGCTGGCACTGGAATGGGTGCAGATGACTTTTACTAGGTTGATTCCAGAGTTGAGAGCGTTGCCTTATGAGAAGAAATTGAGTAGACTGGGACTATACTCATTGGAATTCAGAAGAACGAGGGCGGAATCTTATAGAAACATATAAAGTTACAAGCAGCGAGGTTGTTTCCACTGGTAGATGAAACTAGAAGTTGGGGGGCATAGCCTCCAAATAAGGGAGAGCAGATTTAGGATCAAGTTCAGGAGGAGCTTCTTCACGTAGCAGGTAGTAAATCTGTGGAATTCTCTGCCTAGTGAAGCAGTTGAGGCTACCTCTTTGAATGTTTTTAAGGCAAAGATTGATTTTTGAACAGTAAAGGAATTGAGGGTTATGGAGAGTGGCAGATAAGTGGAGCTGAGTTCACAAAAAGGTCAGCCATGATCTTACTCAATGGCAAAGGAGGCGCAATGGGCCAGATGGTCTACTGATACTCCTATTTCTTATGTTCTTATTTATCTTGACCACAGTCCAAAGATGTGCAGGTTAGGTGGATTGGCCATGCTAAATTGCCCGTAGTGTTCAGGGAGGTAGAGGGTGTGTATTAGGTGAGTCATAGGGGGATGGGTCTGGTTGGGATGCTCTGAGGTTCGATGTGGACTTGTTAGGCCGAAGGGCCTGTTTCCACACTGTAGGGATTCTATGATTCTAGGATTTTTTAGTTAGCTCCAAGTCTGTAGAAATGTAGCTCTATCTCCCAGCTTTTGTGTTTGTAGATATGTAGAATGTTCCACAGAAAACATTGAAGTGATTAATTTTAAAAGCTTGCTTTCTCACTCTTATCTGATTTCTGCTTTCCTTTGAAATTAACTAATTAACACACTTAGTGTTCTCAATGACCACTAGACCCAGCTCTTCCAGAGCTTCCAATTGTTCTTTCTTCACGTCTCTATTGACCTAAGTTTTTAAAGAAAGTTTCTTCACTTTCCCAAGATCTCATTTTTAATTCTCAAATGCCACTTCTGAATTCTTGCCATTTCTGATGAACGATGCAGTATGCTGAGCAAGAATTCCAAATTTCCTCTTGTTAGTATGTGAGGTTTTATCTGTATTAATTCTGGTCTGTGATGACTGATGGTGCTGCAAAGTACTGGCTGCCCAAGTGGAAATATGGACGTGTGGCCTGGATAGTTTGTTACAGTTACATGGCAATCCTGGAAGAACGAGTGGTCAATTTGCTCCCACATTATCACTGAAAGTCTAGTTACCAAGAGGTTATCCTTTCCTATTTGTGGTGTTGTATTGTGGTGCTTTCAGTTAGAAACTAAGTTTAATGCAGTTATTCCCTCTTCATTTATATGCTGTTTAACTGAATAACAAATCAGTCCAATTTGAGGTCAGTACCTTCATAGCTGATGGCAGAAATGCTAGGAATGACCTTGCTTAATTCCCATACAGCAGCACACTTTCAGGGTTTGTGTTCATTTCTGGACTGAAAATCCTGTTTAGAGGATACACTTACATTGTTAGATCTCTCCTGAGATTCTCTAGAAAATTGGCATTCTGTTGTCATCATGGCAATAGCTCAGTCCAGCAATTGATTGTATTAAGGTGGATTTTTTGTTTTAGCTGAATTACAGATGCCTCTCACTAATTTTGCATTTGTTTGTAGATTCTCCACCAACCAAGAGGAGACGGCAGCAGCGTTGAAATGGATGTAAAATAACTTGACCTGATACAAGTAATCCCGACAGCTCCAGTATGTGATCAAAAGTGAAAACCAAATGGATCAAAGCACCAAGCTTGTGAACAGTAACTACAATACTGAATCAGACACAAGTGCTATTTTTACATTTGGTGAAAATAGATGAATACCATTTCCTTGTGATTTTATACACTTGAGCAATAAGTAGCAAATTGCAAAAGATCTCTTCTTTTTATAAGCTGTGTATATTTTGTGTTTTGTTCTGTTTAATATTAAATGTAGGAAGATACGATTTGACCTGTGTCTGATTTCTGATCAGGTCAGATTTTCATCATTGGGATGACATTTTAGGAAAGTATTACTCCTGTTGTTCTGTTACTGTAGCATCATACTTATCAATGCATACCAGCTGGTTAGCATGAGGCTTTTCGGAACTGTCTAGCTTTGTTTTTGGGATATTTCAATCTCATGTCTCCAAGCTAATATTTGAAAACTAAAATGTTACTTGACTTAACTTTACATGTTCACTTTATTGTGGTCTTGTTCGTGTTCAAGTTATTCCATCCTGAGCATACAGTGCTGGGCTCAGCTATAGTACCTTCTCTTCTAGTTGATCTTCAGCACATCCAGGTGGGCAGGTTTACTCTGGTACACAACATAATCAGTATCAGTAGCTAACATTTTTACAATGACATCCTTCTTTTCTACACAATATTTTTTTCAGCCAATTTACAATGGAGGAGTCAATGTTGAATATGTGATGCTGAACAATGGTTTTCAATAGATTAGTCAAAATTCAGATTCATGTTGTACAGATATATATACTGAATCTATATTTATTGCAGCATAAGCTGGTAACATTGGAAATTGTGCACCATTTCCATTATCTCAATATTGTCTCAATCCAAGTGTTAATGTATTCCAATGCACTATATTACATACAAGAATATGATTGTCCTGGCAGAGTGGCTGCTGCCATAATGATAGGGGCATATAGCTTGTAGGTCCTGCCATGTTTCCACCATTCTATATCTTCATCTGGGTTTCAGGTCTATGGTTGGCAGTGATCCTTAAAATTTAAGTGAAGTAATCTTTCATGAGTGCTATTGAAAAGCAAATGTCAGCAGATTAATTGGATAAGCTCCTTGCTTAATTTATCCTTACTTGACATTCATTTGCTTACTTTCACAATGTAGTGGGTTGGCTTATGATCAGTGCTTCCGCATATGCAACCTTTGAGCATAGAGGCCAATATTAACAAGCCCTCTGTATAACTGATTTGACAGAGAAATGACAACTTGAGACTGACACAAATCAAACTTGGAACTTTTTTAATTTGGATGTATTCTGGTCAGCGCAGTTACCCAATGGCAAATGTAAATAATTCATTAGAAATGGTTGTTTCAGTGTGAGCATGATGCAATTGAAGAGTAGTTTGAGAGTAGTTATTGAATTAAAACTATCAGCAGAATACACAAGTAATTTTTCTTTCTAAATAGTTAATGTCTTAAACTTGTGCTAAGTGGAATTATGTTCACAGTTTAGAAATGGAGGAGCTGGGGAAAGTAGCATTCCTTCCAACACCCCCATTCCCTTTTGAACGTTTCGGATACTTAGAGGTAAGTCAACATGTAAACAGATGCAGTGCTGTGTTTCGGTACTGTTTGCATCAGCAGAGATTTTCAACTCTCCTGGTTATTGCCTTTCTTAATCCAATGTCTTTAATTAAGATTGACCAAAGGTGAAGTACTCTGGAAATTATTGTACTATGTTCTCGTGTTTAGTGGGATTGCTCTGGAATTCTGCTGCTACCAGAAAGTAGAGCTGTTTGTCCCATTAGTTTAGCCTAGATTCAAACCCATATTCTAACTCACCTTGGTCTCTGATTCTAAAATACAACCTGTCATTCCAATACAAAATCTCTCACTCTATGATACAATTTTTCAAGCATTTCAGTATACAATCTTGACTACCTCCTACGTTTTGTATTTTTGAAAATTGTGATGATGCGACAAGCTAAAATAATTCCTTTACACTAAGGTCACAATTTGGAAAATATGCAACTAAATGATCTCAAATCATTTTTGTGGTTGAATTAAAACATTGTTGAGCGTGAGGTTTTGTTTTAAACCACTATTTTCCTTTATCTCTTCCAACTTAATAAAATTCTTAATTGTTTTATTTTTGTGATATATTTATGTTGGATGTATGACTGGGTGAAATCATTGATAAAAAGGGTGTAATTTGTGCCTGTCTGTTGTTGGAAGTGCAGTGATTTAGAGCTCCTAGGATGTTCGAGACTTTCCACAGATCAATGAATGCTATATTAGCCCCAGTTCTAACAACTGATAGTTATGCATTTTTCACTTAAGGGTCAGTGTTTCAGCCGACAGCACCATGTGGATGGGAATTGTACGGTTGAACTGCTGATGGTTAAAGTTAATGCACGAGGTGGATGTGCATCTGTAGTAACTACTGTTCAATGTTTCAAGACCCTTTTAAGACACATTTAAGACACATGGAGAATTTTTTTTTCTGTGTTGTGAATATTTGGAACTCTTGACAAGCTATTGGACAGAATCAAGTGTGGCAAAGCCCATCTCAATGTCAAGATCATCTCATGCCATCTTACTACAAATTGTATGGTGAGATTTTCACTGGGCGGCAGCAGCAAGATGCTAGTTGACAGGGATTAACACTAGTTCAACAGTTTGTTAACACCACAACTCACCTCATCAATATTTAGCTTCCTATTTATCAAACTTGCTGAACTAGCTAGATGACAAAAAAACTCAACAAGGAAACCAAAGCATGTACCTGGTGAATTTAGTTCACTGCTCACTCCAAATGATATCCATGTTATCTATGAGCAAACGGCAGCACAGAATACAGTCTATGGGCACCAGCCATGTGCACCTTCCTCCACATGGCAATCCATCACAACCATTTTGGTACTTCTGTTCACTGGCAGTGCAATATAGAAACACAGACTTGCATTGCAGAGCACACCAGTAACTGGTTTTGGAAAGCTGCAACAGGAAGGTTTTGAGAACAGGGATAGGCATAGACTGCACCAAGCTGCATCTCAGGGATGGCCACTTGCTGTCTAGTGCTGGCTTACTTGGCATCTACTTGCATACTTAAGTCATTCTTGCCTTGTTTTGCCATGCCTTGCCAATTAGTTAAGTCACATAAACAGGCTGGTTACCATGCAAGTAAACTGTACTCATCTAGGAAGCACATGTCTTACTATACAGCAGTGTGCTATGTTAGTCTCACACCTGCATAAAGTGCTAACAGCATACATGGAAAGCACACTGTATATACAGAAAGTAGGAGCCCATGCATCATGGTATTACTGGAGCAGTCCTCACTGAAATCCCTGAAGGCACCTGTATGGAGTAGGATATCTCTCAGACCCTGCGGTATCTCCGGAACCAGTGTGCACAATATTAATTTGTCCAGGCACCTTAACATGTACCAGGAAAGGACTACACAGCACGAGTCTGCAGTCAGGGAACCAGGTCACAACTTTATTTGAAGACAACAGAGGTTAAGAGTTAAATTTTACACTTTTAACAACTCTATTGCTAACTGTCTGATTATTTAGAAACTTGAAATACTTCCTAGATACTGGTAACTTTGCTAGTCTGATGAATTGTTCAGTCTGTTCCTCTCTTCACAGGTTGACTCCCTGTCTCTGGTCGGAGAGTGAGCTGCTCCAGTGACTGCTGTATTCCACCTTGAGATAGCAAGAACTGCCGATGCTGAAGTCAGAGGTAACACAGTGTGGAGCTGGAGGAACACAGCAGGCCAGGCAGCATCAGAAGAGCAAGAAAGTTGACGTTTCGGGTCGGGACCCTTCTTCAGAATTGGGGGAAGGGGAAGGGAGCTCTGAAATAAATAGAGAGAGGAGGGGTGTGGCTGATGAAGGTACGTGGGACGGTGATAGGTGAGTGCAGGTAAGCAGTGGTGGGGATTGGTCAGTGAGGTGGGAGAAGTGGATAGGTGGGAGAGAAGATGGACAGGTTGTGTCAGGTCAAGGAGGCAGAGATGAGAGGGAAGGTTGATCATGGGATGAGGCCGGGGGTGGGGAGATTTTGAAACCGGTAAATTCCACATTGAGACCATTGGGTTGTAGGCTCCTGAGGTGGAATATGAGGTGCTGTTCCTCCATTTTCTGGGTGGGGTCATTGTGACACTGGAGGAGGCCCAGGATGGCCATGTCACCCAGAGAGTGGGAGGAAGAGTTAAAACGGTTGGCGACCGGAAGGTGTTGTCGTTTGTGCCAAACAGAGTGAAGGCACTCTACAGAGTGGTCTCCGAGCCTCCGCTTGGTCTGACCGATGTAGAGGAGGCCACATCAGGAGTAGCGGATACAGTAGACCAAGTTGACGGATGTGCAGATGAACCCCTGTCTGATGTGGAAGGTGTTTTTGGTTCCTTGGATGGAGGTGAGCGGGTGGTGTAGCACTTCCTGTGGTGGCAGGGAAAGGTGCCGGAGGTGGGGGGTGGGGCTAGTGGGGAGTGTGGAGCAGACGAGGGAGTCACGGAGAGAGCAGTCCCTACGGAAGGCAGATAAGGGTAGGGAGGGAAATAGATCCTTGGTTGTGGGGTCAGATTGCGGGTGGCGGAGAATGATATGTTAAATCTGGAGGTTAGTGGAGTGATACATAAGGACAAGGGGGATTCTGTCCTTTCTTTTTGCCAGGAGGAGATGTGAGCGCAGAGATGCGGGAAATGCAAAAGATGCGGTCGAGAGCATTTTCAACCCCTGAAGGGAGGAAGTTATGGTCCTTGAAATACAAGGACATCTAGGATGTTTGGGAGTGGAACACCCCAGTACCTACCGCTTCAGATACATTGTCACATTTACTTCACTGCAAAGTAATGACAGTTTTAGATCACAAAAACTTTGTTTTCTTTTGCCCCACCTAATCTGATACAACAATGATCCTGGAAATAGACTCTATTTGTCCTCTTTGGAATATTAACAGAATATGTTATACCAACTTTGTGCTTAAAAATGTCACTGTTGCGCATTGTCTTTTTAATTAAATTTTCACACTGACTTAACCAGATTAAACCCTCTTGCAGCGTGATATTTTGACTGGTTTTTTCCTTGCATGTTACTGTTATTTATTACTCTTTCAAGGGAAATGGTCATCATTGGCATTTGTTGCCTGCTCACTTTGTACTTAGAAGTTTGCTCGGCCGTTTCAGGTGGCAATTAAAGTCCAACCATATTGCTTTAGGTCTGCAGTCACATGTAGGCCAGACTATGTGAGGCTGACAGGTTTATCTCCTAACAGGGCATTAGTGAACCAGATGGATATTTACAACAATGGTGATAGTTGCTTCACCATAATTAAAAGTAGCTTTTTTATGATTTATGAATTGAATTCAAATCTACCAGTTGTCATGGTGACATTTAAATCCATATTCTCCGAGCATTAGATTAGGCCTTTGGTACTAAACCAGTGTCATTGCCTATATCTCTCACACTGCTGTTAG